TATACAGTTTTAACTTTAGTGTTAAGTAGTATTGCTTTCTATTGAATCAATGTTGGTGATGCCAGCTGAAAGTAAGACTTTCACTCCTGACGTTGATGGTTCAAGACCCACCTTAGACTTTTGAAAGTTGCAATTATACTTAAGTATTTTGGCTAATGTGAATAATTTGTATTGGTTTGCCCTCTATAGATTCAGTAAAAACAGTGCCAAAATAGATGGACTGGTTTAGAAAATTAAAACCAAAAACCGAGGAAAAACTATTATGTTTGATTAAAAATTATTAACACCTTTTAATTTGCTCATCATTGCCCAATTTGCACAAGCACTTTCACTGTCTGCTTGAGCCTATATCACCAAAATGGCAGAAAAACTGTGTGCGTAAAATGAAAAAATGATCTTCTAAGGCATTTGACACAAAAAATACACACACCAATCATTAACAATTTCAACGGAACTTAAATGAGAAAAGCAAAAAAAAAAAATGCAAAAAGAAAAAACATCATTTTATTGCTAACTGCAGTTCTGCACTCCACCAGTAGGTGGCGACATGTTCACAAGAAGCTTCATGAACTGTGGGGATTCAAACGGTTCAATGCCTCATAAGGCTTCATCTCACCATCACTACTGACAGCTTACCTAATGCTAATAAGTTCAAAGGTTTTGATTCCTCATAGCATTTAAACCTTAACATGATTTTGGTTTGGTTTTTTATCATATTTCATAATGTGTTAAGATAATTTCATTGAGATTAAAGCGTGATGTCTCCACTAATTCGTGTTTAAATTAAGCTAACAGCCTTAATGCTGCTAAAGAGGGGCGGCGATAAACAGCAGCCTACCTTCATCCCAGCTGTAGGAAGAAATGTCCCTGAAAAGTCTGCTATTAAGACAAGTTAACTGCGGAACAAAATAGTAAACATCGCACACTGACGAAGTTACCGCTGAATGCCTTGCAGCTAACGTCATAAAACTGCGTCGGTGACGCATAAGTTTTACGAAGGGTAAGGATTTCCGGTTCTTTTCAGACTAACTTTTTTCGAAATCAGTGAACTAACTGGCATGGCAGGTATGTGTTTATTAAAGCACATCCCAGGGACAGGAAATTCAATTTACAGGGCTTTAAGTT